ATGATTTTCATTTAAGAAAAAGTAGCAGCATGTTGTAATATGATACAAGACTAAAGATGGGGCAAGATTTGCAGGTCTCAATCTATCCTTGCTCTTATAATATTTTGGTCCATGGGAATAAATTGCACCGGAATGTATGATAATAATGTAGTTTCCCTAAATTATTAATTATGGGTTAATGGGTCAATCCAGGCAGAATCTTTCATCCTGTGCCTTGAAAGTAAATGTGTTAGTCTAGCCTCTCTGCTTAATTTTTAGGGTTTGTCATTTATTTTATTGGTTCTTTTTTAGGTATGTTGAAGAAAGATCATTTAGAAGATTTGTTGAAGCATGCCTGGAAGAAACAGTGGTTGTCTATGTGGATCATCTATTAATACAGGTTTTAATTTAAATAAAACATCAACCATCCCCATCTCTTCTCTTTGGTTGGTTATTTGCAAATCTTGTGAAGTATTATTATGTATTGAGCTTGTTGCTTATCATTGTAGCGAAACTACATCAAAGAAGAAACTATTGAACGAATGAAGCTAGATGAGGATGTTCTTATGGATTTCTTCAGGGAGTACATAAGTGTCTCAGTAAGTGAGGATGCTTGTTGTGGTATTCTGATTATTATGCACGATCAGATCTTAGGCTATGTCCAAAGAAATAAATTTTATTTGTGAAATTCATTTGAAAATCTGTAAATTTAATTAGAGATGGTGCGAAATTGCTTCCAAAAAATAAAATTTGACATTTTAGAGAATCTAGAAAGAAATTTGTCGTGCATTATTTTAATTCTACTTGAAGTTCTTAGATGTCAATTTTTATTTTTTTCTAATAAAAATTTACTCATCTCCTAATTGAAGGAAGTATAAAATTCGAATGTTATCCACAAAATTTCTGGATTTGTTTCAAAAATAACCTTACCACTGGTTAATCTGCTTGCATCAATCGATTTCAATTCTTTGTTGGATTCTGATTTTCTCGGACATCTGCTGCAGAAAGTTGAAAACAGAGTGAGAATACTGAGCGATCTTAGAGAACTTGCTTCTGCGGAAAGTCTGGATGCCTTTACACTGATCTACTCAAATATTCTTGAACATCAGCCTGACTGCCCGGTAAATCTTAATGACTTATTAGAAGCTAGTTTTACTTAATTCTTTTCATCCAACATGGACAAATATCGTTGGATGTGAATTCTTTTAATTTTTTAGGGGAGAATGGATGTGAATTTATTTAAAGATTTCTTTAGGCAGTAGAAATTTGAGCATCCTGCAGGATTTGTTTGGGAGAGGATGGAGAGAATGGTAAGTAATGAAATGGAATGGAATAGAATATAAAATGTTTTACTTTTTAGGACAAGATGATAATGGAAATAAGAGTAAAATATACTAACTCGTCTGTTGGAGGTAAAAGAGAGAAGAACTGAAGATTTTTTGACGTATAGAAGACAATAATACCCTTATAGAAGGAAAATAAGTGAATAAAAAAATGCAGTTAATTTAGTTAAAATAAGATTTTCAAGTTATTCTGTTTTTTTGTTCCATTCATTCTTCCCCAATTTGGAGAACTCTGGGCCATTGGCAGGGAATGGGAGTAAAATTTTCACCCTTATTTCCTTTCCATTCCATTACAATGTCATCCCAGATAAAGTTAAAAATTTTATATTCTAAAATTTCTCTTCCATTTAATTCCCTTGCCGTCTCTCATAAATATCCTTTTAAGTTTGTGGAGATCTTGTTGTCAATATCTTTATTAAAGCATTAGCCCCCCCCCCCCCCAATAGTTGAATTAAACTGTTTTAAATTTAAAGTTTAGAGTTTTTATTTTCCTGAACCAAGTATATGGTTGCTAAGATTAGAAATTAAGGTTTTAGAAAGAGAAGAATGGAAAAATACGTTTAGCTCTTGAAAATAAATTGTTTATAACATCTAACGTAAAATTATATTGAATATTATTATATTCTTTTAATTTGTTTATATGGTCAATCATTTCTAAATAAGTAGAGCAAGTATAATGTTTCCAAAATTTAGTAGTCTTAAATTGTAGGACAACTTACGGTTTTACTTCATGGAGGTTTTTTTTTTCACATTTACTTCTTTGTTTGTTTGACAATCTAATATCTCGAGTTTAACAGCTAGCCATTTTACGTAATATCATTGTCTTGGAGGACATTGACATGTCTATGATTATAAAAATGTATGAATAGAAGTTAAAATCTAAACAAATCAAAATTAGTCAAAGAAAATCCACGAGTAAGGTCCTAAACGGATAGATACATGTCACAAAAAGTACAGAGGTATTAAATGTGGAAAAGAAAAAGAAACCTAATCACAAGTTATTAAACTATATTTCCTCCTAAATTATATGGAGACTAATTAATTATATATGTATATTTGTAAAAGAATTTTATTTGTGTCAATTATTTGTGCAAACTATTTTGGACTGTAATTTTGATGGTTTCAGAAAAAAATAATAAATAAATCATGGCTAGGCTTAGTGTACCTGTGTAAGTATTGTTATAAACATTAAAAGAGATGATTTATTAAAATGATAGCCCCATATTTGTAGCCTATATTAGATGTAGAATTTTGTTGATACAGGAACAAGACGGTGTTCAGCTTACTGTACCTAATAAACATGTCGAGTAATAATTATTTGTATTTTATGTTTTATGGCAGACAAGTAAACTCGATAAATGAACTCTCATGTCTTTTTGTTCCATTACATTTCCAATCATTTGCTAATTTCATGTCTTTGATATGTATTATATTATGAAATTATTGTGTTTCTAATTACCTCTTCTTCCAGCTTGAATTCTTTGGGACTAGAGGTTAAATTCACTTTGAGAAGTAGAAATTGAAGTTTGAATTCAAGCTGGATTAAGATTACCAGCTTATGTTGTGATTGTGCATGTTAACTTGAAAATTAGAATTAAGAATTCAATGGAAGATGAATCTAGCCAAAATTTTATGATTTGGAAACCGTTTTTTTAGAAAAAAAATTTCCATTTAATTAAACCAAAGTTATTTCCATTCTGTTTAAAAGAGTAGGTTTCTCTAGAAACAAGAAACATTTTTCGCAAATGAAACTCCTAATTTTTGTTTTTCTCAATTACAGCCAGAGGTTGTGGAGAAGCTTGTTGGATTGCGAGAAGGCATACCCAGGAAAGATGCCAAAGAGGTACATTGAAATGCTTCAATTGACTATTTCATGGATGTGATTGAGAACCCTCTTGTTGATATATACATGTCCCTTATCAAACAGGTTGTGCAAGAGTGCAAAGAAATTTATGAGAATTCCCTTGTTGATGGAAATCCTCCCAAGACAGGTTTTGTCTTTCCAAAGGTGAAATCTTTATCAGCCTCTAAAGGATCTCTCTGGCGAAAATTGACTTAGTGCTGGTTGTACATGAAGTGTGTTGTAAATGTTACAATCTTTTTCTTCTGTCCTTCTTGGTAAGGTTCTGTATTTTTTGATCTAGTGTACTATTTATAGTTCCCTTCATGGGCCCACCACCGCTTCACCCTCCCACTGATCTCTTGTAAGAGGGGTCTATATGATTTATTGTTGCATCAGCTTTGGGTGATGTAACTGAATGCTCTTTGTTTTACATGGTATGTAGATCAATTTGATATGTAAACTCCAAGTTATTCTTGGAGGCTTTAGATGAACTGCATCCCCGTTTTTCTCCACTTAAACCATTTTGTCAATATCCTGACGTTCCTGCATCTCCTGCAAGCAGCCTTTGTTGCTTTTCAGTAGTAGAATTCCAATAATTTTATTGGTTAGTTGGTTAGTTAGCAGTTAGTTAATAGCTAGCTAATAGTTTTTAGAGTTAATAAATGCACATGTACTCATAAATACAGAAATACCTTCTGTATTCAGATAATTTTTTCAATGAATGAAAGAATAAAGAATTTTTCTTGCCTATCACCTTCATCTTCTTTACTTTGAATTCTACTGTAAATTCATTCTTGTTCATGGTATCAGAGCTACACCGATTACATGATGGCGACGAATCAATTTTAGATTAATTTTATTTCGATTTGAAAATTTTTGATGATGAATCAATCAAGTGGAAGTTTTGGAATTTTCCTATTTTCAACGTCTTTGAGTGGCATGAATTATCGTACATAGAGCAAATCAGTCAAGATTGCATTGATAGTCAAAGATAAATTGGGTTTGGTAACTAGTAAAGTGAGGATGCCTTCTAATGAATCTGTAAAGTAGGAGGATTGATTTGCCAACAATGTCATGGTAGTTTCTTATATCTTAAACTCTCTCTCAAAAGAATTCCATGACTCATTCCTTTATGTGAATCTTGCTCAAGATTTGTGGGACAAATTAGAGAAAAGATTTGGGGAATCTAATGGTCTTCAAGAATATGAGTAAAGAGAGAATTAGGTTCTATTTCTTAAGGTAATGATTCTCTCACACTATATTTTACTAAACTTTATCGATTACGGGATGAATTAAATAGTCTTGTTCTGACTCCACAATGCATATACGGGAAGTGTACTTGTGGTAATTCATATCAAATCTTGAAGTTAAATGAAAATTCAAAATTATGTAATTTCTTATAGGTCTCAATCATTCTTATAATCAAACTAAAAATTAAATACTTTTACTTGATCTTCTACCTTATTGATAAAATATATTTGATGATGATGAATATAGAAAGATAACGACAGGTTGCAAGTGTCTTTGCTGAAAGGATGGACGTGACAGCTTTGATGACTTCTTCTAGTCCACAAAAGGGTACTAGTTTGACAAAGAGTAATTTTAGGAATAAAGAATCAGTTAAGAGGGAAGATAAATTCTGTACATACTACAAGAGAATAGGCATTTAAAAGACACATGCTTCAAGCTCCATGACTATCTAGATTGGTATAAGGAGCTAAGGTAGAAAAAGAAAAGATCGGGTGGCTATAGAGCTAAGGTCAATATGGCATATACTCCCCTTGATGATGAGGAAATGGTAGGTGATCTCAAAAAGTGAGAAGAAAGTGAAATGAAGCTGTCTATGAGGAAATAATTCAAGATGAACGGTCAAAGATGCTGAAAGGAAAGTTTACTTTAGATCATAATTTTGTTGGCTATGCACAAGAATTTGTAGGTATAATTTCTGATATATCTCCTAAAGGTTCATGTTGGATAATAGATACAAGGGACAATAATCACGTTTGTGCCATTAGTTCGTTATTTCGCAATCTCAATAAGATTAAAAGGCAAAGTTATGTCCATTTACCAAATGGTTCAATTTTAAAAGTTGAATATTCTTGTGACAGTTTTAAAGAATGAATTGATTTTGAAAGGAGTGTTATATATCCTTTCTTTTCATCACAACCTATTATATGTCAACAAGTTGACCATAAGAACTGGTGTCATGTTCACCCTTTACCTTGATTTTTGCTTATTATAGGATCGGAAGACTAGTAGGACGGTGGTTGTTCGGCAATATATACTGCCTTGATTTTACTTCATTCAAACTAGAAACCTTAAATCAGTATGACTCTCATTCCTGTACTCCTATTTCAAATTTCATGTTGAATAGCAGGGTGGTTAATAATGTGGTAGAAATCTCAATATGTTGGCAGACAAGGTTAGAGCATCCATCTTCAGTTGTACTACAAAAGTTACATTTTGAGATTAATAAAGAAAATTTGTGAACTAAACCAAGCAATGTATATGCAAGAGCAAAACAGATAAGATTGTCTTTTGAGAGTATTGATGTATTGTTTGAAATAATATATGTGGATGTGTGGGCTCTTTATAATCAATTGTCATCTTCTGATGCATTTTATTTTTTGACAATTGTAGAGGATAAAAGTAGGTGTACTAGGACATATCTTACGCAAAGTAAAGTGCAAATAGGTTTTCTGCTTGAAAATTTTATCAGAATGGTTATGAAATAATTTAACGTCAAGATCAAGATAGTTAGAAGTAACAATGGCAGTGAGTTCTTGGCTTCTACATGTTAAAGCATTTTTATTGAGCTTGATATAATGTATCATACAACCTTTCCATACACCCCACAACATAATGGGAGAGTGGAACGAAAACATAGACAATTGTTGCAGGTTGCTCGAGTTATGCTTTTTCAAGCTGCACTACCACTTACTTTTTGGGGAAAGACTCTATTACATGCTACATACACTATCAACAGGTTACCTTCTACAATCCTACATTAGAAGAGTCTGTGTGAGATATTGTATCATAAGCCTCTAGCTTATAGCAGATTTAAAGTTTTTGGGTGTTTATGTTACTCAATAAACACTCAACCTCATAAGCACAAGTTTGCTTCAGGGCATTTAAACATATTTTTACGGGATTTGTTGCATAAAAAAAGGGTTATGAGTTTTTTATCTTAATAACAATCAATACTTAGTTTTTAGAGATTAGTTTTTAGAGATATGACTTTCTATGAAAATCAATTTCTATATGCAGCTCAAGTACAAACAAAAGCATCAACGGTCATTCACCAAATTTCAATTGCTGAAGCAGACACTTATTAACATACTAGTGTGTAAACCGACAATATTACCAACACTGGTGCATCTTGAACAGCTGTGTTGGCTGGTGCTCAAACCCTTAATTCTGCTATGTCACAACCAGAAGGAGTTATTCATTCTGATCCTGCTGTTGAGGCAGAAAATGATGAACTTCATTCTCAAATGATAAGTGGCAGGGTGAGAAGAAAGCCTAATTGTCTCCAAGAATACATAACCACTGTCAATTGTACAACAGCAACAAATCCAGTCTTCACTTCTCCACATCTATCCAACACTTTTCCATTAGTTTTTAATTTTAAATTGAATGTTGATCTCTCAAATTTTTTGGCAAATATTACTATGTTGCAAGAGCCAAAAGCCTATATAGAAGCAAAACAGTCCAACAAGTGGATCCAAGCCATGAATGCCGAAATAGCAGCATTAGAAAGAAACAGACATGGTTTTTGACTACTCTACCTCTTGAAAAGTCGGCCATTGGCTGCATATGGGTTTTTAAATTAAAGTTGAAGCCTGATGGGATAGTGAAAAGGCATAAGGTAAGATTGGTTACTAAAGGATATCATCAAGCGGAAGGAGTTGACTATATTGATAGTTTTTTACCTGTGGCAAAGGTAGTTACAGTCAGAATTCTAATGGCTGTTGCAACAGTTAAACAATAGTCATTACACCAATTGGATGTCAACAACGCATTTCTCTATGGCTATTTGAATGAGGAGGTGATAAGATGATCCCAACTAGGCTAAAAACAAACCTGGAAGTCCAAGACGAGTCCACTCTTGAAGGAGCCGAGAATCCTGACCCAAAAACTAGTTCAGTAATGGCCCAAGTTCTAATTCATCTAAAGATGGACTTGAAACTCAGTCTAAGTGCTTAAGAGAGAAAAACTCAAAGCTTTTGTGCATGAGGCTAATTACCCGATCCAATGAGCACCCAAAGAGGTCTTAACCTTGTGACCAAATTTGGGTCAAGAATGGGGCAGCCTTTGAGGCCCAAAAGTTACCAAAAGAAAAGTCTAAGTTAGATCCAAGAGGGCCTGAAGATCCAAGATAAGATAAAAGAATGGGCTTGAGGCCCATGAAAGAACCCGTGGGCTCGAGGAATTATTAAGAAAGACGAAAGATCGACCTTTAGCCCAAGAAAATACAG